ACTCCTCTTACATAACTATCTGGGAAATACTGGTTTAAAACCCGCATTTTTAAGCAGCGTCTCAGCCAGTAGATTAGAAAAGCTGTTCGGATTTAGTAAACCAAGAAAATTTGGAATTGTAATGACAAAAATCTTTTTCTTTAAGAAATATAAAGTTCTAACTCTTTATATGACTGAGGTAGATTATAAATGTCACTGATTCCTAGGGCTCAGTGTATTCTGCCTTGACATATAATATTTTTGTTCAAGAAGAGGATTCAGCAGGCAGTCTGTATTTTAAGTCCTTAAAAAGTAATTTCCAGCTGTGCTTTCCAAGTTTAATAAGGTGTGATAGTTAGAAGGGAAGCAATACCAACACCCTATGGGAGAGTTAAGGATTTGCTTTTATTTTTATGAACCCATATAAATCGGTAGAATTAGCAGAGGAATGAGAGGTAGAGGAATGGCTATAGTTCCCTCCCTGGCTCCACTGAGCAGAAGTGACTGGAGCAGCGGGCTGCGTGCCATGCTGGTGTGAGGGCCAGCCCTGGCATGCAGTGTTATAAGATATAAGATACCTGGGTCCTAATTTTTTAAAAGCACAAGTCTTCTCAAAGTTAACAAAATGTTATATATGTGCTTTTTAAATCTGTTAAGGTAGAGCTGTTAAGGTAAGCATTGGTGTGTATAAAGGAAGCAGCTGCGGTGCTCATCATGAACCACGAGTTTGGAAGGATGTTTATGTCCCACAGTCCAGATTCAGCCACGGTGATCAAAAACATCCATGACTTTACCATACATGCCAAGCTGCCAAACCCTGGCAGTGACTCCTAAAAACTTAGTGCCGCTACCCCTCTACTTCCCCGTACATTTATTATCATGCAGAGATTAAACTCTCTTCAATTTTCTGATAAGCATAGTAAAAGACCTGAGTTGTAAATACTATACTCACTAAATCTGTTACGGTTATTATAGTATTAGGTTTACTCTAGTGCTTTAAGGTTAAAGCAGGAAGAAAGCTGACAAGCTTTAAACTGGGCCCCAGTCCCCAGAGTCTGTGCTAACTGGGAGATAAGCCATTGTGTCTGCTTAGTTCCTGAGAAGAAGACCTTACAGCACATCACCCTCACCTCTGATCATGACCATAGTGTTATCGACTGACTGTGCACAGCAAGAAACAGAATAATGATTACACAAGTGCCTGAAACAAAATCCTACATTTGCCGGTCCCTGAGTTAATAACTGGTAGTATCTTTGTTGTATTTCACATGACATAGTTTCTTTACTAACTAAAATTGGCCGGTTGAAATGTCCAGGTTCCTCTGCAATATTTTAAATAAACTGGATCCTAAATGCACCGTGGTTCTGGCTATGATCTGGCTGCCCTTGCGTCAACTGCCCTTCTGCCTGGTTTCATCGTGCTGTCTGCGATGGCAGCATCACTCCTGACAATACGCAAGTGTAGAGATTTCTAATATTATGTTGTCTGCTTAGATGATAGAAACTATCAAAAGGCGCATATTCTGCCTGTGTTGCAGCTTCTGCTCTCACATAGGAATGGCAGGAAAGCACTTGCAGGTGTTTCTGATGTAGACCTGCTGTCCTTATGAAAACTGCTTTTCTTTTGAAAACAGTGTATGATTGCTAGGGCTTCTGCAAGTGTAGAGATTTCTAATACTATGTTGTCTGCTTAGATGATAGAAACTATCAAAAGGCGCATATTCTGCCTGTGTTGCAGCTTCTGCTCTCACATAGGAATGGCAGGAAAGCACTTGCAGGTGTTTCTGATGTAGACCTGCTGTCCTTATGAAAACTGCTTTTCTTTTGAAAACAGTGTATGATTGCTAGGGCTTCCTACTGGTTAGAATAGCAACTAAGAGCATCCATAGCAGCATGTCTAGTCACTGAACCCACAGAAAGGCCCTCTGTTTTGAAGTCTTCCTGAAATGCATTGTCCCAAAGCATTTTGTTAGGATTGCAGGAAATTTGGAACGAAGCTGCAGATTTTGGCAGTTTAGCAGGAGGTGGCTGCCAGTCTGAGGCACAGATGGAGGTATTTGGAGAAGCCAAAGCAGCATGGTCTTTCTGTTCCTTTCTTAAAACCATCAGAAGGATTAGATTTTTGGCACTTGAAATGGCTTAATTTAGACTTTGAGATAAAATACAGCAGGGAGAAACAGTCTCTTTTTTTAGTTCTCTTCAAAGATTTTTCTGTGGATTTAGGAGATCAGAACCGTATTTTAATTTTATTTTGTTTAAGCAGCCTGGGGTTGCGGAATATGATTTTATGACTGAAGTGAACTCCACAGCAGATTTTGTATTTGTGGGCTTTGTAAGTCTTTGGTGATATTTGCACCTTTTTTAATCTCATGTTGCCAAGAAACTACTTCAGAGTTTACTATGGCAGTAGATGGGGTCTGTGGGTAGTTCTTTGCACTTTTTTTTTCCTGTGCAGCTGAGAGGAAGGGGTCGGAAAACTAGTTTTCACATTCAAGAGACTTGCTCACTGAAGTTAGTAATTGAAGTTGGTGGGAGTTTAATATTAGTTTTAATAGGCTCGTATGCAAGGCCACCTGTAGATAAGCAGCTAGTCACAGCAAAAAGTTGCAGGGAAGTAATGGGTAAGTGTGGCTGCTGTAGCCCCTAGCAAGAGCAGCTTTGTAAGCGTGCCTGCACATAGTGCTTCATTAGTTGCCTGTGCAGCATGAAGTTTTCTGTCCTGCTGCTCTGCTGTCCTTTGACTTCTCTGATCCATTTTTAAACAAATGCATGCAGACAAAAGCATTTGCAGGCCTATTCTTAGTAGACTAAAACCTATTTGACATACTGTACTGTTGAGAGAGTTGATTTCCTTTATGCCTTACTAAGCTTTATGCGGTACTTCTCTAAACTTTTTGTTTTGGTTTCTTATGCGGTGTTTTTCATATGCAGGTACGGGGATGTTCTTCTCTGCATAGCTGTGAAGTGACTCACTTGGAATTTTGTGTTCAGTTGTGAACATGTGGTTGCTAAAATTAATCTGAGGTTTAGATTAGTTTATTGTGAATAAACAAAAATAATTGGCTACTAAAGTGAAAGGTTATTTGGCAAAGATTTAAAAGTTCAGTTAGCTTAGTCGGAATTTAAGTCTGTGCCTTAATAAACTTGCTGGGAGAACATAAAAGGAAGGAAACTTTATTAGGGAGTCATAGTGGGCTGGTTATAAGTGGAAATAGTGGAACATTGTCTTATGAAGGAAGTATCTGACACTGGCTGAAATGTCTTGGTCATTATTTTGTTAGTTTTATTGGTTCTTTCAAAAGAAGCAGTGGAAGACCTGCTTGATTGAGCAAAATGCTGAAAAATGTGTAGATGAGAGTAATCCTGCGTTATCTTGGAGATAAGCAGTAGTGTAAAGGTCTGGCTACCTTGACATGGAGAATTGGGATGATTTAAATCTAGAAAGATAAAAAGCGGGGGGGGGGGGAACTGCTTTTACATTTCTCTGCGTCTCTGCGGAACGGCACCCAGACATGTTCAGAAGTGTTCACTTTATAAATTTATAAATTCCGGTTCCCGCCTAATTTATGTTGTAATTCAGAGTTTTAAGTTTTAAGGTGTGTCTGTTCTTGGAGGACTGCTTTTACATTTCTCTGCGGATCTAATCTACGGCACCCAGACATGTTCAGAAGTGTTCACTTTATAAATTTAATCATCCGGTTCCCACCTAATTTATGTTGTAATTCAGAGTTTTAAGTGGAGAGGTGTGTCTGTTCTTGGAGGAGCCTAAAGCAGTAGGTGTTCTCAGGTCGTGCTTTCCATATTCCAGGAACATGGATTTCAGAGCAGTGGCCATAGTTGGTTTGATTTGCAAATAGTTACGGGTGTAATTGCATAGTATTTGAATGATTTGAGTTCTAGCCCAGTCTAAGCTGTAGGACTTCATTAGCCGGAAGGAAGTTGAATATACAGTTCCTGCATCCCACGTGAGTGTCACTAACAAATCAAAGTCATCTGGGAAGAGGCATCCTCCAGCCCTTTTTTCAAAGACAGGTCACTAGTTAGGTTAGGTTGGGAGTGTAAGATCAGGCAAAGAGCCAACAGGAGGGAACATAGAGGTTAGGGACCTCAGGGAGTGTGAAAACCTCATTTTTGCTCCCTGGGTTGTATTTTATATCTAAAATTGTCTCATGTGAAAAGCCTAAATAGTCCAAAGAGCGGGCATTACAATGTCACTCCCTTTAAAAGAAAGTGAATGTGTTTGGGAGAAAGGATGTCACAGATTCAAACCTCCTTTGAGAAAGGGAGATGAAGTGTTGGGTTTTCTACTTGCTAGAGTGCTCTCATTCCTAAGTGGCTATTAGTGAAAGATGAAGTAATTTGACCAAATCTACGTAGCCAGTGACAAAAGTTGAGTTTGAATAGATTTTCTTGCTGCAGTTGCCAGTCCAGCCCAGTAATCTGTAGATGCCCTACTGATGGTGGTTTCCACAATGATAATAAATTTTGGGATGTTTCTGTGATTAAAAATGAAAAAAGAATATTGTTTTCTTTTCTTGCCATTCTTCTGTGTTTGATCCCAAATGTTTAGAAGTGCAATTTAAATATATGAAGTGTAATTTAAATTTATTAACTTATAATACACCTGGAATTTCAGATCTTAGAGCAAATTATGCTTATTCAAACATCTGGTTAGAGAAGTTTAATTATTTGGTTAATCCTTTGGGACAAAGAGATGCCCCTTCCTGCCCTGTGACTGAGATTTTGGAGTTCTAGAACTCATGCTCTGCACCTCTTCCGCAGTGTCTGGGTCTAGAGAAGTGCAGTGAAGTAAATTCAATGTCTTCAATATCCAGATTTTGGGTAATAATCTTTTGATTTTCAGTTTTTCTGGTATAATACATTACTTTGGCGTACCCTGTTGTCAAGTGTTGTATGCAAAAATGTCCCTTGGAACTAACTGTAACTTCTGAAAGTTTTAGCATGTTTAAAATGTTCCATTATGCTATGTCATTTTTATCAATGTTTTGTTGCTTTTATAGATTACCTTTCTCAAGGGATAGATCTCTCTGGAATAGAAGTAATTGAAAATGACCTGCTTTTTATTGCAAGAGCTCGGCTTGAGGTGGAAAATCAAGCTAAAAGGTTGCTTGAGCAAGGTGTGGAGACTCAGGTAAAATACACTTTCTTCTTTACTTCCTTTCAAAAGTGAAGTGTAAAAAGTACTCTGAGCTTGATTTCGTTTGTTTTATATAGCATTGTCTAACGGAGATTAAACATGAAAAAAGTCTTACATGAGAAATTCTCACACATGAGAGTATCCAAAACAATTGACAAAATTGGCCTTGTACAATATTTGCAAGAATAAAATTTTGCAGGATCTGACCCTGAAATTTGGGAGAAAGTAGGTGCTGATATGAAGAGTTTAATTCTAAACACTGCTAAAACCTTGATGATTGATAGGACTTTGCATTAAGCACAGTATACTACATTGCCAATATGGCCAAGTTTTATAGATAAATCTGAAAAATGCAGTTTCTTAAAACTGTAAGAAGATTTCTACTTTTTAGCTGTGCAGTGATGTATTGAAACGATTTGAAAGATTTCCCATTAAAACTTTAAAGGGCATTTTAAACTTTGAGGTAAATATTCACTGTAGGGCATATCAAAATGAGTATGCATAATTACATTCATCCATACTAAATGTAATTATCTACATTTTTAATAACATGGCTACGTCTATTATTTAACTATTTGTAGTATCATTAGTGCTGTCTTCTTGCCTTTTTAAAAATTCGTGTTCTTTTGTCTATACTTTTTAGTATACTTTAAAAAAAAAAAGTATTTTAAATCTCCATTACTACAGTAAGAGGAAAAATCTAGTACAAGTTCCTATCAAATTTGCATTTTAAATTAGAGAACAAAGAGAATTAGAAGAAGACATTTTTATGCTGTTTGTTACCAACAGTTAAACTTCCCTGTAAGTCAATATAGCATTTGTTTATAGTATTGAAGGTTGACATGAAAATAGAACATACACAGAATGGAAAATCTCCTCATTAAATTGGCTTGGTTAGATAATTGAGCATTAAAATTATCAGTATGTCTCAAACTTTTACTTAGACCTCTCATTTCAAGTAATTTTCTGCAGTAAGAAGTCATGATTGTGGTAAATACCTTTGGCTATTTACTGAGAGCAAAATGGTAGGAAAAAACACCCCATTTTTTACTTGATTACTATTCAAATGTTGAAACTCCTGGCTATTTGACCATGTTGCCAAGCTGTGATTGGGCTTGTTATAAGCTATGAAGCATATGCAATGTTAAATAAAGACAGAACGAAGATAGGGCCTAAGAAAAAGCAAGTGGACATTTATTTTAAATGTAGCAAAAGTCTTCATCAGTGTGTACTCCTAGTTTTTCATGTCAGATTTGACCTTCTCTGATAATTTTCTCTTCATATTAAGTACTAAAACAGAACGGACAAAGAAACCCTGGGGAAATGAATCCCACTCCACTTGAAAAATAGACAGATTTATTAGGTGTTCCAGGCTGTATCCAGGTAATCAAGAGATTATTAAAGTATATGCCTGTTGTGCTTTAGCCAGGGGCCTGTTTCCAGCAAACGGAAGATTGTTTGGAAGAACATTATTAGTGCTTAGTCATATCAGAAGTGGGGATGTTTTCATGAAGAGGTGTTAGGGTATGCTTCACAGGTTTGCTGTTGGATATGATTCGTGGATTTAATGTTGGAAAAATAGTGTGCTTTAGAAAATACGCATGCAGGCATCACCCAAGAAATCTAGAATTTGAAATATGACTAGCAGATAGTCTTTGATTCTTATTATTGTAGCTGTGTGTTTTATTGACAAGTTGATTTACATTTATACCTTCCAAGCCCTGAGATTTCCCATAAGAGGACATTCATCTTTTCTTCTGCGTTTTGTACCACAGAATTCCTCAGATAGGCTGTCTTCCTGCTAGTATCTATTCTGGTAGCCAAGTCTGTACTTTTGAGAATGGTGCATCTGTATTTGTCCAGGTGGTTCTTCAGTTATTTGATATTCATATTTGCAATTGCAGTTTTAGTTCTCACCTTTGTTTTTATCTGCTGTGTAAATAAAACACAAGATTGGTTGCCTACGTAACAGCGAGCTGTATTTCTGTATTTCATCTAGCACTTTTCAGCAATGCCTTAAGAAGAAAGTTAGTCTTACGTCTCCGTTTTAGAGTATTTCAGTGTCCACCTGGAAGAGAAGCAGGAAGTGGAAATACATAAAAAATGTAAAACTACAAGTACCTCCTTTTAAGCAGAAGTCATTAGAATTTGGTGAATGTCTTCTCTAGAATTCAGCTTTTTTTTCAGAGAAGCTGCTAGAAGTTACTCGGACAAAAAGAACAGAGTTAAAAAGTTTAAATTGCCCCTTTCAACATTTTGATATATCTCCTTTGTTTAGGTAAGAAACTATTTTTGTTATTTTGATTATTTATTTAATGATGTATAAGTCACATGCTAATGAGCTGTGCCCAGATTCCCCGAAATAACCACCAGCAGTAGCACATGAAAGCAGATACTTACCTCTAAGGGATACATTGTCTTTTTCTCTGCATTGTAATTCACGTTTTTATTGCATGTCCATCACTGTAGCATTTGTGTATTTCTCAGAAGAAATGAAATCTCTCTTCCCGTTTTCCTTTGGAAGTGTGGCATTAGGCATGGGCTGCTTCAGAAGTGAAGTCTTCCACTCATGTTCATGGTGGTATCTTTAAAGCTGCCATCTGGGTATAAACTAGAAGTGCCTGTCAGCGTGTCTAGACTTAACAGGCTTTCATAGAGCTGCCAACCACGCTTGTCTTCCTAATCCTTTTAGAAAGAGTAAGCCCTCTTTGCTCTTGTTGACAAAAGTAATACAAATAACAGCAAACCTGATCAAGCAGGGGTACCAGTGGCTACGGGCAGGTTTTTTATTGTCATGTGTGCTTTGTTACGCACTCCTAGTGTACATAGCACAAATTGATGCTCTTTCATGAACCACAGAACAGTATCAAGAAAATGGATTCAAACCCCGTCCTTACTGTTTAGTCCTAAACACCTTGGTAGCTTTCCTTCACGCTGTAAGCAGGTTAATGGCGGATAGTACAGAAAGCAGGAGAGGCTGCTTTAACAGAGATACATCAAGAACTTCAATAAAGTCACTGTTCTAAGAGAAGAGACAGCAATGTTTTCTGCTTTAAAAAGAAAAAAAGAGGTATATATCCACCTTGCAACTGCCTGAAGCCTCCCCAGCATTTCTATTGCTCACAGGATGAACCCTAGGCAGAGGAATCTAGATTTGCTCTGGACACCGCTTCACCCCTTTATTCACAGCAGTATATTGTGTAAAGCAGATCTGAATAATAAGAAATTAACTCAGAACAAGAGAAATTTGTTAAGATTACCATAGCTCAATTCCAGGTAGAACAGTTTTGCCAGATGTAGTGTTGTGGGTGCTATGCTTACAAAGAAGAAAACTTTCTCTGCAATTTAGCTCACACTTCAAACCCTTTCTGCTATATATTGTCATACTTAGTGTGGGACTTTCCTCTTACAGCCAGGGATGCCCAAACTTAGTTCCATCAGGTAATGATAAGGTTGGTAGCATTAGGAGCCAGGTCATGTGTGCGCAGAAGAGAGATGCATTTCCATCTCCTCTATCTTTACTCCTCTGAAGAAGTAGCCCTACTTCTGAACTAAGTTCACTGCTTTAACAATGGTTATGGGTCTCATCTGTGTAAGAAGGATGGATTTTTGCATGTATGTACTCGTATGTGTGAAATGGGTTAGGAACCTATGCTCTTGCTTTTGACTTTACCAATACAAACTTTACTAATTAGTTAGGATGTAGATGATGAGGACTATGGTATCATTAAAGATTGATTAAAATATAAAATATCCATTTAGGTCAAACAAAACATGGTGTGGAGATGAGAGTAGAACTCAGATTTCCTTGGGTTTGTACCTTAAATACAGTTTGTCCTTCTGTGTGTTACAGAAACTTTCTGTATCTTTGACCACAGATAGTAAAAATTTTCCTTCTTTGTCTCCTGGAGTGTTCTATAGGTGTCTGACTATTTTTTTTAAGGAAGGTTTTGGATAAATTATGTGATGTTTGTCGCCCAGTTTCCCTTATTTAAGGTGTGGGCAAATTTATTTTCCTGCCTAGCATGGATCTGGAGAGAGTTAAATTCACGGATAATTCACTGAAATTGTTCTGGTGATCATGTAGTGAAGTGTCCTGATCATGTTAGAGAGAGCAAAAATAAAGTATAAGCTTAATAACTATCCTTTGTCCAAATGAATGTTAAATTGTGCCTGCGTTTTTTTTTAACACATAGATTTTTTTTTTCCCCCCGAAATGAAGAGCTTTACTAATTATAACCTCACCAAATAAAGAAGAGGGGAAAAAACCCCCAACAGAAATAAATCCTAAACTCTACTTCTGCAAGATGTTCAAGTGCTGGATTTGTATACACAGGATAAATATGTAAGCAATACAATCTGAACAAAAATGTCTCAATTAATTTCAGTGTAACATCTTTATACTATTGCCACTTTGAGCATATTTGGGGGCATTTTGAATTTTCATATTGTAACTCACTGAGCAGAATTTGTTTTGTGAATTGTTCTGTTTTGCATTCTTTTTCATACTGAACCTTTCCTCTAAGTTGTCGTCTCTAGGACAAGTACAGCATTTTTTTTTCACATTTAAAAATTATTAAGTAGATGTATATGCATAATTGTTCTTGACTAATGCTATTTAGCACCTGAGAAAAGTGATGGGAGGATGAAGTATCTGCATAACTAACCAGTTGTCTGGAGGTGATTATCAAGAAGTTGCTTAATTTATCTCAGTTCAGGGTTCCCTAAGATAGGTGCTTATGTAGTACATCTTGCAGTGTTATGGCAAAATTGGTGAAATTAATCTGAAGTCTTTCACAGACCAGCATTTAATCTCGTGTCAAGGATCTCTAACAATAGGTCTTTGTTATCCCCAAGGAATTGGAGGGGAAAATATGCACGTAATTGACCATTTTTCCAGACATGATCATCAAGAAGTTGCATAATTTATTTCATTTCAGGGTCCTCTGAGCTGAGTGCTTATGTCGTACAACTTGCAGTGTTACAGCAAGATT